ACAAAACACTGGCTCTATGGCTTGGAAATAGGGATGAGCACCGCCCCCTAGAGTTGAACACGACTGGACAAAAATTGTCAAGGGGAACCTTTACTTTTTTAACAGCGTCATCTTTTAAGATTTTGAATAGTTCAACTGGAATGCCATCACCTCCACTGGCCTTGTTGTCAGCCATGCTTTCTAAGGCCCACTTGACTTCACTCTCCAGGATGTCTGGCTCAAGGTCAGCAACCACACTATCCGGGTTGTCCAGGACATCCAGATCTTTCTGCTATAATTCCTCTGAGTATTCTTGCCACCTCTTCTTGATGTCTTCTGCTTCAGAGAGGTCCCTCCCATTTTTGTCCTTTATCAGGTCCATCTTTGCACAAAATGTTCCTTTAATATCTCCAAGTTTTTTTTAACAGATCTCTGGTTTTTCCGTTTCTATTATTTTCCTCTATTTCTTTGTTCTCTGTTCATTTAAGAAGGCCCTCTTGGCTCTCCTTGCTATTCTATGGAAGTCCGCATTCAATTTTCTGTAACTTTCCCTATTTCCTTTGCATTTGGTTTCCCTTCTCTTCTTTGCTATTTGTAAGGCCTAGTTAAACAGCCACTTTGCTTTCTTGCATTTCCTTTTCTTTGGGATGGTTTTTATTGTTGCCCTCTGTACAATGTTATGAGCCTCTATCCATAGTTCTTCAGGCACTCTGTCCACCAAATCTAGTTCCTTAAATCTGTTCTTCACTTCCAGTGTAAAGTGGAAATAAATGAATAAATGAATGAATGAATGAATGAATGAATGAATGAATGAATGAATAAATAAATAAATAAATAAATAAAGTTTTATTACACTTTAGCAAATGGAGCTGGCTTAAAATCCAGTGAGTCCTATCCTCACCCCAGTGCCCTCTCTCTTCCTAGTATACCTCTTTTTTTCATTTTGTGTCTCTGTCTCTCTCTCAGTCTTGGTACTCATCCAACCTATTCAAGGAGTACAACTCCCAAATCCTCAAGCCAAAATGGCTCATAATTCATGAAAGCCCTCCTATTATATTATGGCATAATTCAAAACATGCACATATCTGAATTAATTGAACTCTTTAAAATGATATGCCATATGACTATAGTCAACAAAACATAACTCGGGACAGAAGGTCGAGAAACACAATCATTTCCCATAAGCAAAAATATTAGACAAGTGCATATTTTATCTCCCTGTCTGTTCAGTCTATATGCACAACATAGCATATGAAAGGCTAGGTTAGATTCAGATGAAGGAGAAGTGAAAACTGATGGGAGAAACATCAATAATTTAAGGCATAATACCATACTACTGGCAGAAAATGCAAAAGCAGAACTGCAGGTGAACATTAAGACAAACATCCTGACTACAGAAGCAATTCATAACTCTACCGCTAAGAAGAAACTGAAAAGTGTTAAAAGATTTTGTATATCTCAGCTCAGTCAAATTCAAATTAAGACTGTAGCCAAGGAGACAGAATAAAGGGACTAAAAAATATAATCAAATACAAGTACATGTCACTGGAGACCGAGGCAAAGATCATCTCTACACTGCAATATTCCTACATTGAAATACTATCCATGTAGCTATGCCCTCTAAGGCTAATAATGTCATCAATTGCAGCAATTTTTCAGAAATAAAACACTTCTGATATACAGAATGTCTTAAAAGGTCTCAAAGCTCTCTGGAATCCCTTATGTCACTGGGA